GAAGGTCTTATGGGTTTGAAACGACATGAGGGTGAGTAATTAATTCATTTTTGGGTGAACTATCCCTTTAACCGTTAAATATTGCAGGAAGAGACTGCCGCATTTGTGCATGAACATGTTCAATGGCCCTGTCCCAAATCACACCCTAAACTCTCACTGCCTTCCTCTGAGTCCACACCTTCGTGACGTAATGCCACTTTGACTGATGGGTAGAAGTCTGTTGCGGAGCTCGCCTCAGTGCAGGCTGGGTAGAAGTGCGCATCGAGCGCGCATAGCAGCCGAAAAGGGGACACTCGCGAGCACCCTTCTGAGAGCTAAAATGACCAATGGGACACCTATGGTCTCATGGACTTAACATGCAGGGGGTGTCATGTTCCTGAAGAGAGAGAGAGAGAGAGAGAGAGAGAGAGAGATTGGTTCTTAGTATTCAGTTTTGTTTCTGTAAATATAAATTTAAAAAAATATTTTATATAATTTATCTTTGCAAAGTTTCAGATGATTGATGATACTGATAGCTTTAACATAGACTCAACAAAAATAATTGTATTACTACGCAATTTAATATATATAAATACATATAATGAGATGTTATTTATTTTACTTATTGCAATAAAATTATATTGCAATAAGTAAAATAAATAACATTTCATTTGGTTTATATATATATATATATAAAATGCAATATTTGATTGAAAGTCTTACTGTAGTGTTGGTCAAGAAGACACATTAGCTCTCCTGGCAGCTGGCATTGCTTGCAAGTCAAATTGTTGCTTTGATTTGACTTGCTTAAATTTTATTACAGCAGGTATGTGATGTCATTTAACGAAGAGAGATCATCTAAGTGTAACTTGACCCAAAAGTGACGTATGCAGCCTGAAGGTCATTCAAGTTGTTTTAAACATGAAATTGAAAGGGAGAACGAGAGAAAAAGATATATCTTGAAACAGATCTTTGCATTTCTTTATAATATTTCTGTTAGTATAAAGAAAAAAGAACAATCCTCTAGTATAATCTGTATAATTTCAGTATAATCTGTTTTCACACCAAATGAACACTGTCAGAACAATTAGTGAATAGTTGAAGTGTTAAATAACATTTTAAAAAATGTTTCCTTACCAAAGCAGGATTATTCCTGTACAACCTTTATGTAGATTCCACATGCTCCAGACCAGCATACTCTTAAATTACAATTAGAATGTGTCATTTTGATAATTTCATCTACTTTGTTTTACCTTTTTAAATTGTCGTGCAAACAAACTTACAAGGGTTTGTTGTGGGCAAGACACAAGATCTCTCTTCGGGTAGTTGCCAAACAATGGACAATATTATGAGTGTAAGTGTAAGCATGCCAATTATTTCTCACTGACAAATGTTTGTCGATGGTTTGAAATGTTTCTCAATCCTGCCCCGTCTGCCCTGTCCTGTGGTTTTCCCACCCAACCCTGCCACCTCCACTCCCACTCCCAAACAGTTCACATTCTTGATCTCTTCCCTGTCCAACACCAGTGTTATTTTAGTATCCATGATACTGTTATAG